AAATTTATTAAATAATAAAATCAATAAAAAATAAAATTTTTTTGAATAAAAAAAAAAGTACTATATATTAAGGTTGCTGGGCGAAACTAGATAGTTTAGCAAACTGTTTAAATGTCAAAAGGGTAAAACTTGACAAAACTATATTAAAATCTTAATAAAAAATTAGCAAAACTTGACAAATATCAAAACTTATAGTAAATCATATTAAATACTAAAAAGAATAAGATTCTGGCAAAAGCTGTTAAAAAAATATATACAGATTTTCATATTCATGAAGATCAAAGAAACAATCTAAGGGAAATTTTCGTGTATAACGTACCTGCAAAGTGGCCCATGACAAAATCCTCGTTGAACTAAAATTATGGGGTGACATTATTTCTATGACGTCTAAGAGACAAAGGAAATATCAAATGCTTCACTTAAATATATGTCTTTTCTTTTTCACACTGGCTTCTTTCGACAAAGGCTTATAGTAATATACTTTAGAAAACCAGGAAGTACGATAGTTTTCAGGACACTGGACACTAGTTACACTACAACAAAGAAAGAAATGTAAACAGTTCTACCTCTATGTCAATGACCTGCCTGAAGATTCACTATTTTGGCAATTATGGGATAGGAACCAATCCTCTCATGTCTTCGATAACTACCCAGTCAAAACTGTAAAACATTTCTGCATAGGTGGTATGAGTTCGATTGTAGCTTTTTTCAAAAAATTTGAAGATGTAAAAGCTTGTCGTTAGACGTCCTTCAATTTCAATCATAACGATCAAGACTATTTTTACCCATGGTGTAAAACTCCCTCTTCTGCTTCCTTCAAGGTTTTTACCAACAAGTCCAAGTCTTTCTCTAGACCTTTGATAAAGCCATCCAAGAATAAGGATAAGAAGACTGTTCCACCCAAACAACATTCTACTAAATCAAATAAATCCTCTAAGAAGCCTTCCACAAAATTGAAAGACAAGAAGAAATCAAAGAAGTCTTCTGATAAGAAGCCTCAGGATAAATTGGATATCGTCAAGCTCTTGTTATAACTTTTACAATAACATTTAGTAGTTTTCGTTCAATTTCTTTTTACTTTTTTTTTTGATATTCAATGGGTTGACTTTTCGAAGACCTTAAGGGTCTACGCAACTTACTTTGTTCATTTTGTTTGAAGGGTGGTAGGTGTTATTAAGGTGTTGAGGCCTTATGGTAGAGGTGATCCTACTTGATTAAGTTCGTAGTTTCTGCAGAGTCAAGATGTTTACTTTAGTTTACTTTAGTTTTCATCTAAGGGTAATACGATAACCTATTTAAAATCTTTACATATATGTAGTCGTTGATAGTTTGACCGTTATTAAGTTGGCTCACATCTTTAATATAGTATTATAAGAATCTGTATTGCTTTTTTGTAATAGAGTTGACTCTATGATTGTTACTTAAAAATAAAAATAAAAATAGCAAGGATGTCTCATCTAATGAAATGTTTAAACTGATTGCTACATAACCATTTGATAGAAATTAAGTTACTGAACAAACTTTGAAGCATGAACTTTCTAGGCTTATTTTTTTAGTGATATCAGTTAAACTACATGATGAGTCCATCTTAAATAATACAATTGAGGGCTTTACACAAAGATTAGCTTATTGGATTAATGAGACTATAAAAATGGGTTTAAAAAAAATCTTATGCTTGTATCATTATTTCTTCAAGTTTGAAAAAAAAGTAAAAAATATTATAGCTAATGGCAAAACTAAAAATAAGATAGCAAGATTGATGATATACAAAAATATGTTGCAATATTTACCTAATGCCACTTTGAATAATTTGCAAATCTAAACATATAGAACTAAAAATATTCTTATGCTGTTTGGAGAAAAAAAGATTAAGATAGATAGAATTAAGTTAGTTATTTGTAGTACAAGTAATATTTCTAGATTAACCAATACCCAAATTCAAAATATTATAGATTATGTGAATGATTAGGTTCATAAAACTGGTAATAATCAGAGTTATGTATCCTTAAAAACTATTACTATTAGTAATGATCTTACATCAGTTATACCTCAAGCAAGTGTATCACCTGCATAAATTTCTAGAATTAATCTAACTTATAACCAATTTTATTTTCGCAATAAGACATTGGACCAATATTTCAATTTATATAGAGAATTTAGTAGTGAAAATTTTGATTATTATAGAATTATCAATGAAAAAATATGTCTATTATGCAAGTTAAAGTATAATAAGAAGGAAAATTTAAAAGGTAGATATAAAGCTGGATCTTATTTTATTAAATGTGAACAGTGCAAAATTGAGATAATTGTATAATTTCATTATTTTACAATATTATATTTGCATTTCTCTTGAGAAATTATTTTTTAGAGCTAATTTATGTCAACTATTGCCTACTGTAATTTAAATTATTTTGGAATTATATAAAAGAAAAAATGACCAAGTCTGGTAAAATATTTATTTATTCTCAAATATTTGGATTGGCATACCAAATTAACTGAATTACCAAGCATTTTAACAGATAAGATTTATTGTAATTTATATAAAAGATATAAAAAAAAATCTGGAAATGAGCCATAGCAATTATCAGAAGCCATGACAGATATATCAGAAAAATCAAAAGCTGATTTCAAACTTATTACTTTTGAAGTTAGATCTGATCCAGAATTAATTATCCAATCTGTTTTAAAGCATTTTCCATACTTGAAATTCCAAAATAATTTTAGAGGGATTGATAATTATGATTTTACATTACCTCAATCATGAAACTCACCATATTCTATTTGTAATAAAAAACATGGAAATTATGGATTACATGGCTCATGGTACTGTAAAAATAGAAATCAGCTCTCTTATAATCCTGAATTAGCAAAGTTGTATTCACAAGATAAGTTGGAATATTGTCTTATTTGTAACATTTTAAGCAATAAACTCAAGTTCACAATAGTAGTATAAAGAAACTTTATTATGTGAGATTGATTACCTGAAATGTGCAGTACTATATCAGACCAAAGGAAATTCTTTTCAATCATGATCAGCTACTAAATAGAAAAAAATACTTGTATTACATCATTGTTTTATATATACTGCAAAATATGCTATGTGCAGTAATACGCATTGAAATTATCATATAATTAACCTGCTTTTATTGGTTAAGAAGTGAGAAGAGTCTTCACAATTATCATATGACATAGCATGTATCATAAACACATTCTATCTCAAAGAAAAAAAAGCTAGAATAGAGAAATATCATTCAAAAAATAATCATGTATAATAGTCTAGTTCTGTACCATGTAATATATTTTAGTTCAATGTATTGGAAAAATAAAAAATGTTTAGGGTACTAAGTGACCCAAGCAATGTAGTTAAATATTTTTCTCGTGGCAATTAGTAATAATTTTTAAACTGTACATACTAATTTTTTATATATGCATGTTAATATAGGATAATTTAGGAAATCTGGATTGGCAAATTAAAATTGCCAGCAAAGATCCAAGGACTTTTATTCTCAAACTTCCTTGCATATTCTCAAGATTATTACGTATATTATTGTAAAAGGACCCCTTGATGATCTTTACATATGGATAGCATTAAATTCTTTTGTTAAATTAAGAAGAATCTGTTGATCAGATTTTTGTGATGCAATCATATTAACATAATTTTCCCAAAAGTGTATAACAAAATCAATCCTGTGAATTATATAAAAAGGTGATGACCTGGTTAGTGAATCCTTTTATCTGCCTTGTGCAAGTAAAACGAAAAAATCTAACCTACTATTATTTGAATCATCAATATTTACAATTAAATGAACCTGTATATTCTGCAAAGTAATAATAAAGTAAGTTGGTTTTATTGCTCGGCTAGCTTCTTGAAACATGACATCATGATGTTAATCTATTTTTTCTCCTCTATAGATGTCCCAAAATAAAACGGATATATTACTTTTTTTTTTTATTGGCATTTTGATCACTGACCATCATCACGCGTATAATAGGCGCAGTGAAATTACCTCATCACATGCACAAAAGTCTGGCGCAGAATATCAACGTGCTAAATTCTTGAAACTTTGCGCAGTATCGTTCGGGCAATAATGCAGAAAAATTAAGCAATAAATATCTTGTATACAAGGTGGAATGGAATTATGTGAAAATGAATCGTGATGGTAAGTGTAAATCGTTATTGTATTATTTTTTTTACCTCAGTTGCTAATACTTCTGTAATTATACTATAGGTTCGAAATTTCTTAATCTCTCTTTTGAGGAATAATGTTTTATATAGTCTATGTGTTTGGAGAGATATAGATAGACAAAAATTCTGTAAATATGGGTGGACTAGTATAGTAAAAGGCTGTGGGGGGTAAGAATCACGTAATTAGCAATAGAAGTATAAACAAATTAGTTATAGATACTTTTCGTAAAAAATGTAAGAGAGCAAAGAAATAATTTGATGCTGGTACTCGCATTAAATGGCCTAGGATCTGCGTACTCTCTCCCCTCCTTGATAGCATCATATATTTCATTAAAAGAGTTTCTCCATTTGCATCAAATTATTAATTGTGTTTGCTTTAACGCCATAATAACATTCCACCCCACGTGTCCGGTGACCTAGGGTGTAACGCGGTCACGCGGGTGACGACATTATAATAAAAGGGATAACTTGACTGTTAAATATCTTGCACATTACAAAATGCCAAAGAAATTTGATATTACTGGCAAGCCGGGCTTTTCATACTGTTTTCATACTTTCTTACTACGCCATGCAACAAATGGGATGCACTAGAATATCATGAGGAATGGTGTGCGTCCAAACATCCCATTAACAAGGCAACAATCACGGCAACAATCACGGTAGCAATCACGCGACAACTAGAGTGGCTTATGAAGGAGGGAACGGAAGAAGAAAAGAAGGAAGCTGACAGGATGTTTAAGCAATTTAAGGTGTGTTCCTTTTTTTGTTTTAGAGGTTTAGTTATGTAGGTTGAGTGAGGGTTTAGGATGAATGGCTCCGATAGTGTAGTGGTTATCACTTAAGCTTTACGCGTTTAATGTCCTTTGTTCGAACTCAAAACTAAGCATTTGTTTTTCGTGGTCCTGCCCGTGACATTGTTACATTCTTTTGCATGGCAGTTGTGGCAGGAATCACGAGGGAATACGTTCCGCCCGTGTATAGCATACGTTCTGCCCTGTCTCAACTGAGATTGAAGCTACCCACTGGAATACGTATCCGAGTGGCGATGGAATACGTTCCGCTGAAATCTTTCCATGAGTTAACTATCATGAGTTAACCTTATTTGTTACTGTTAAATTGTTATGCTTTATTATAGTGTGGGAAGTTCGCGTTGAAAGCAAAACCTGTATTGATATAAAAATAATTGTAAAACTTAATTTTTTGTAGGAAGGTGTAAAGGCTGGCGGGTATGTCGATGATTTTTTTGGATTAAAATGGATTTGAAGAGGAAAGCGAACTTAAAAGAGATCAAGGTTTCTGCAGAAGTTCGTGAAATACAGGTAATGGAAATTGTTTCGTTTAGTCTTTACCTGCACATTCTAAGGCTAAGCTTAATTTAAATTCTTTCTCGGTTTCTCATACAATAGGCGGATAAATACTTGCTAATGGTAAGGGTTTTTGACTTTATAATTCCAGATTTAATGCTATCTTTATACATGTTTATGTAGAATAAAAGGTCTCTTGATGTCATGAAAAGCACGATAGTGGAGCATAATGAAGCATCGAAGATATTTGCAGACTTTGCTCGTGCCGGAAAAAAAAGGAAGAAATATCATCAGTTGGACGGATTTACTACTCCCTCTCCGGGTAGTCCAAAAAAACATTCATCTATTGAGGATATGAGCAGAACAGATTCGGAAGATGCTGGGCAAACCAGCTCTTCAAAGGCACGTGTAACTCAACGATTTTTTGTTTACTGATCATAAACACTCATTAATGGTTATAACTATAATTTGACTTGTGCTTCTATAGGAATTGGATGACGAAATCGACAATTTCCTTCGAAGTCCCAATAAGCGAAAACCTAATCAGTTTGTTGAGAAACTTAAAAATCTGAGACCACAGATGAGGTACAAATTGAAACGATACACCATGATTCCAGCGACGATACAACTTATCATAAAATGCCGTTTTGAACAGTACGTAAATTCATATTTGACTGGTTATAAATTGCATAACGTTGTTTACATTTGATTTCGGTTTCAGTTTAGCACATTCATTTATTATTGACCCTGATGATGAAACATACATCCAATATGAAATATTTACTCCCGAAGAACTTGAAGAAATTCGTAATACAGGCGCAAAAGGCTTACCAAAGATGCCGGATGATTTGTTAAAATATATTGGCTCTTTCCGAAAGAAAACAGCGGCAGACTTACGGATGGTACTCGATACGCGACAAGATTGGGAGGGTAGAAACTTCGACAAAACAAAACATTTTGATTTCGATTGGATAAAGAATACAGTTCATAGTTTATTGCCAGAATACGAGTTTGAAACATTACAGCGAAAACACCTGGAAACATGGTATAATGTTCATGTTTGGTCTTTGATAGACAAATCTTTTAGTGATTTAGAGGGGATGGATGCTACCAGAGGCGAATCGTGTAGTCTTTCTTCTTCGAAGCGTAAAAATAAGAGAAGGATTGTTAAAGGAATAGTTAAAGCAACACGAAAGGCATTAGGTAGAAGAGGTGATCTGATCCTAAGGAAGGGTTCATATGAATATGGTGCTTCTGAAGTAGGAAAGGATTACGAAGGAGAAAATGGGACGAAATTACTAAGGGAGAGGGGAATAAAAAGTCCGAAAATGTTCAAGGACATGTTAGTAGACTTAGATAATTTTATGAAGTGGAAACCAAAAACTCATACAATGCTGCGTCTAACCTGTTACGTAATACCGTATAGAGTGAATAAAGCGCAGTAACGCTCTATGATTTTCACTTTTTTCTTGCTCCGGCCGTCATAAAAAGAAACCGGTCTATCGCAGTTTGAAAGAAGTGTTATACGTTCGTAGAATTAAATTTACATATTTTTTATTATACATGATCAAGAAAGTATTTTTTGATAATTTAGTGAAATACATTAGATTTGCATATATGTAGAATGATTGAGTATTGTTTGATGAAAAAAACACTATATTTCCCTATGTGAAATTGTGATCAGTTCGTCCACTTTATAATGTTTTGTTTAGTAGTAAGTACATTAACTTTGCTCTCTGCTTGGAAACGAGAACAATGTCAGATCCACCAAACTGGAAATAAGATATCTCATCCTCTTCATTGCTTTATTTGTTTGAACGAAAAGGTGAATCGATTACAATCAGACCGTAGTTCCTACGTGAAACAAAATTGGAGTCAATGGAGTGGTTTTAACAATCTCTTTGTATGAAATTTCTTGCAAAAAACTTGACCCATCGACCGTTCGATGATCTAGCAATTATTGTAGATTCAACCTTGTAAATCAAGTCACTTTCAGAAGCCTCTCCTGGAGTATTAAAGAATTATTTAAAGACAGTAAATACATAAATGACTTTGTCAGTATGAAATTTATGCACGTATTTCTTGCACCATACAACTATCATCGTCAACATGCTCCCGTTTGTGATAAAGTGCTTAAAGCTAAAGTCATTTAAGACCAGGCTTATTTTGAATTAAAGTTATAAAAAGACTCAAGGTGAAATGAGACTCAAAATCTATCCGAAAAAAATGACAGACTTGCAAATTTGACTATCCATTCGTATAGCTCCGATAATCGCGGTGGTACCAAGGACGTCATAGATGAGCTATATTGACCGTCTTTTCAAAATTGATCTCCCAGTTATTGCTAATAATCATATATATATCAGCTCTTGAGCAATTGGCTGATAGTCGTTTTGTTGAAAGGCCCGAGTGATTGCTCGTCTACTTTGTAGACTTTACCTAAAGCTGCAGAAATAATGCAATTGAAAAAAAAAAAAATAAAAATTAGTAATAAAAGATGATTGATGATTCAAATCAATTCGATTATTAAGAATTTTCTCATCTTGCACAAAAGTCTTTATATAAGAAAAAATTTTTACAATTATTTCCTTTGAGACAAATAAGCATAGAGACAGAGTAGATGAGACTACAATGAAACAAATAGCCAAATAGTGCCACAATTTTTTGTTTAAATCTGAAGTATGAGTCAAAAGTTGCCATTCACGATTTCACGTCTAAAGAAACAAAGCTTTCGTATCATTTGCTTCAAACTGTTATGTATTTTTGGAATGAAGAGATACATTTTCTAAATTATTTGGTTCAGTTAAAGATATAATGTATTTCCAGGAAAAAACGATTATTTAGCATCATTGATGGCGAAAATCAACTTGACGTTAGTAGCGAGTCTTGAATGCGCGAATAATTGGGATTTAATGATGTAACTCTAAACTCTTTGTAGTCGCAAACACTTAACGATGTGTTACATGTTACGAGCCACACGTAACCCCTAAATGCGCGGTTAATGCGACTCGTCTAAATATTTTGTAGCTGAAGTGTGTAATGTCTGTGGCCATTTTTTGTATCATTATATTAAAATCATAATAAAAAATAGGAAACAAAGAAATCGTCAAGTTGTCGATCTCCACTAAAAGTAATACAAATAAATTTTGTCTCGAGATTTTTAAATGTTCCACGATTTTAATTATTCTGACGAACATACCATTTAAGCGAACGTAATGATTCAAGTGAATCAGTATCTTGCTTGAATGGAACAGGGAGGGAAGACATAAGATACCTAGAAGTTAAGTCGGAAACATCATCATTTAATTGTTGAAAGCGAGTGTGAATATCAGTAACCAGTAAAAAATCTGCATTCTACACGCACGCTGCGTTTTAAATTTGAAAAAAAAAAAACAGAATAACAAACTGAAAAATGGCAGAGTTTTATGATTAAATAATTATTTTAAATAATATTTATTATATTGTATCAAAATGAGAACAAAAGATAATACAAATTTATTTATTAAAAATTATAACTTAAAATTAAATAAATATTAATCTATTATTATTTTTTTTAAAAAAAAAATAGTAAGCACCAATGTAATTTTAATGCGTAGAACATAAAAAGTCCTTTATAAATATATATATATAGTTCTTTAAATAAATTATAATTTAGATCTATTAAATTAAAGGAAATAATCCTAAATTGTTTGAATTTAACTGTAATCACCAGGGATGATTTTTTCGCAACCGTCAGTGCTTCTGCTGGTATCGCATTGGGAGGCATCTTGGCAACAACGAATACAGAAACGGCCAATATCAGGTTCGACAAGATTTACAAACTTCTCGGAATTTGCGCATGTTGCACCTGGTGGAGCTCCAACACTATCGTATTGACCACCACCGTCAGATGTGCTCAATTGGTACGCAGAAGGATCAATGGTACCAGTGACTTGGACATATTTGCCATCTACGCTAGCAAAGTGTGCAGTCTTAATGAATCCTGCAGGGAAAGCCTGGGCATTAGGTGCATTAGGGGGGTTTGCTTGGGTGCAGAATGGGATAGCATCACCCTCGCTAGCACCAATTTCTTCACCAGGAGTTTTTGGAAGGAACGAACAGAAGAGTTGTTCACTCTCTACTGTTACTTGTACGCTGGGATCTTGGCGACGTACAACAGCTGCATTGGTGGAAGCAATAGCCGCGAGGGCGAAAAGAAGTAAAGATACTTTAACCATTTTATATCAGAGGTAATGCGAGTAAAAAAGCAAACTTTTGTTTTTTTTTAAAAAAAAAAAAATTGAATTATTTAAAAAAATTCTTTTTAGAACTTTCAAAGAAGTGGGGTTTGAACTGGTGCTTCTTATATAACAAAATTTTTGTAAATCAACTGCACGCCAAGAATTGTTAGCTGATATAGGAAAACAGGAAATCATTTTTTTTTTAAAAAAAAACATTCTAAAAATAAATATCGCCGCCATGATCACACTAATTAAATTTTAAACCAAATTTGGATATTTCATAATAAAAGGGAATATCTCTAAGTGTAACGTAGATCTTGTAATATCATCATTAAGCAACCATTACCATAAAAGTAGGAACG